ACCACCTTTGGGCACACAGCATTCCTATTTCTCTAGAAAGAAGGGTCCAAACAAGATTATTTTGATGGCTTTGAGTGTGACATTGTAAAACAGGGCATGGTTTTTAGAGGGCTTGATCCTCGGAGCACCTTAAGTCAGACACGCAGCGAGGCTGGCACTGAAACAGCTCCTGGAACTGCAGGGCAGGAAATCTGCATCTTGGCATATTTATCACGGAAGAGGGTTGCAGGGCACAGCCAGGGCTGTCAGTGCACAGGCAGCACATCACAGCTCAAACCTGCCCAGCAGAGCCGAGCGGGCAGCACACGCCACAGCTGGGTCACCCGGAGTGGAGATTGCCATCAGCTTCTCCCATCACTCAGCACAGCAAGTTTCTTCCTTCAGGTCCTTCAGTACTCTTATTTCCCACTCTGCACAAGAGGCTGGAAGACCTCCCAGGATCTGCTCTCGTGTTTATCAATGCAGAGAGCTGACAGGGAACCTTTTGCCATTAGAACATCTTCCCCTCAGGCAAGATCAGGGGTGTCCAAGGCAAAGACAAGCTCTTCCCGTTGTTCAAGCCCAAAATGCATCCTCTCTGTCCAAAAACCACAGCAGAGGATTCTGTAAACCAGACAGTGACCTCACCATTTGCTCCAAAATGGTCCTGTCCAAGGAGTGCCTGGTCTGGAATGGGGACAGCAGTGTGTGACTGTCACAGCAAGCACAGGGGACATTTGGCTTCCCCAGGTCTGTCTCTCCAGACTCACTGACATTTCCATGGAGCAACAGTCCCACCACAGGCTGTGCCTGAACTGATGCAGGGAGGCAGATGGAGGGAGGCAGTCACTGGGAATGGATGCTCCAGAGGGTGCTTGGTGCAAGCCCTGATGCTCAGAGCCTTCCAGAAGCACCTGGCCAGGAGGAGAAGGCTCACCCTGCACTTCTTCCTTAACAGAGACATTCACCTCTTCACCTCTGTCACCAAAGTGCACAAAATTTGTACAAACACAGCACCTTAAAATTCCCTGCTCCTGGACAAGAAATTCCTACTGCAGCATCTGGGACAGGTCAGCAGCAGCTGAGAAATGCAAACAGGAACAGTGCAGCTGGAAGAGTAAACTCAACCTGTGAGCAGGATATGGAGGGAGGATCACAGGGATGCTGAGGCTGCAGCTTGCTCTGGCTCCAGAGGAGGTTTCTGCCCTCACACTTGTCACCCCTGAAAACCAATGAAACAACAAACCAGTAACATCACAGCCAGCCATGCCCACACAGCTGCTGGCAGAACACCCCTCGGGCTCACTGCTGCTCTCCTGCCTGCTCCATACCCACCTGTGCTGAAGTCTCCCTGCCATTCCCAACCCCAGGAGCACTGGATGTGCTCCCAGGGGCTCCCTGTGGAGACACTGCACCCCAAGGAGCACGAGCACCAGAGCACTCGGTACATCACGTACGAGTCGACTAATTCTGGAAACCAAGGGTCCATTTATAACCCCTTTATTAATAAATGATTAATAGATGCAGCCATATTTTTTAATAACTTGCAATAAAAAAATGCTATGAAAAGCTTAAGCAAGACAGTCTTAACAGATGGTGCTATAAAGTGAATTATAACATGTACAGTAGCTAGTGCAGCGTAATGGATGTCCTCATTTAATAAAAAGAATCTGATTTTATGCAGCAACTTTCACGCTTGAGGCACCTCAGCACACTTTAATGAGTTGTCGTGGCCTCAGCAGTAGCCACAGACATCAGATGCTGTTTTAGTGAGAGGGAGGATGTTGGTCAGGACACCAGGGCTACTCCACAGTCCTGATTTTTAACCTTTCCTTGGACAGCTCCCAAAACCAGACATAAAGGTCTGAAAGCTGCCACCTCCTACCCCTGCACGGCAGGGAACGACAAGCAAGCTGTGGTCTGGGGCTGGGAATGTCTTCTCAGGGAAAAAAAAAAAAAAAAAAAAAAAAAAAAGAGAGCACATCCCACCACCAAAACCAGACTGCCATCTGTATCCACGACTATAAGGCACGCCGCAAATTATGTAATTTAATAAACACTGTAATAATAAAGTATTTATTTTGTATAATGAAGTGTTAGTGATTAGAAACCAAACACACATCGGGCGTGCTGCTGCGGTTTCTCTTGAACCTTTGCCAGTATCACTCAAGGCTAAATATGTCTGCAGCAGGTTGAGAGTAAGTTCCTCGCCTTGTTTTGATCAGCCTGTCAAGTGTTTTAGCTGCCAGTCGAGTTTCTTTATATCACACTATAATTGGCTGCTTTCTCAAGGTGCAGCCAAGGAAAAAAAAGCACACAGCAAAACTCGGGCTCCTTTGGCAAAATCCTCCACTGCTGCTTTGCTGCAAGCTGATTGCAGTAGCAAAGGGCACTTTGTAAACAGCTGGTGAAAATAGAGTGGAACTGAAAGGCAGCTTGCAATAAACTCCAGGAGAAAGCCTTATTTACCCTCCCGTGCTCGCTTTGGAGTGTCGATCAAACCACTCGCAGCTCCCACGGGAGGCCCTCGGAAAAAGAACGGGAATAAAAGAAAGCAGAGAAGCAAATGCCATCCTCAGAGCCCCCGAGCAGCCGAGAGCCCTGCCCGGTGCCCGCCGCCCTCCGCGCCCAGGCTCAGCTCCAGGGTCAGGCGGCCGCTCCCGGCGCTGTCCCTGGTGTCACATCTGGGGACAGCTTTGATCAGAGCAGCCAGGAGGGGGGTCCCGCTCCCCCGGTGCCGATCCCATCCCTCAACGTCAGCTCATTGATTTGCAGAGAGCAGAGGAAAACGCAAGGGTGCGAGGGAGCATCAATCACCGGTGGCACAGGACGTGGAGCACCGCGCCCTCCAGAGGCTCTGCTCCAGCCTCTCAGCAGCACCTCCAGCGCCGCTCCAGCACAGCCCTGCTGCACCCCGAGCCTCTGGGGTCACCCCGACAGCGGGGAGGACAATTTGGCAGCAATCACTGGGGTGAAAGCACAGGCTATGGCAGCCAGGACCTTCCTGCCTTCTACCACAGCATCCTACCGATTTACTCTGGAAGTGCAGAGCTGCCCTGCTGAGATTCTGGGGCTGTCCCCCCAAAAAGGATCAGTGCTCAGGTGTCAGAGCCCCCTGACAGAAAAGGGAAGTGTGCATTTTCTGTGGCTGCTGCTCTGAGAAGCAGAAATGAGCCATGAAGAATCACCCAGCCCTGTGGTCGCTCGGGTCAGAGCTGGGCCCGCCCTCACCTGGCAGCAGCACAGCCAGAGCTTCCAGGTGTATCCCACACCTGTGCACTTTGTCCTCCCCACGGGACAAGCCTTCCCAGCACGTGGATTAGCACAGGCAGGGAGAGCAGCCTGGGCAGTTACCCAGCACAGGCTCCTCTGGCTTTCCCAGGGAGCTCTGCAGTGACAACACATCTGCTTCCTGTCTGCTCCGAGCAGCAGCAGCACCTGAAAACCCAACTGTCCCTTAACAGTGACACTGCAGACAGCACCCAGGACACTGGGAGATGTGGATGGACAGTGCTGCATCCCAGGGGCTGGGAAATGTGGAACCTGTTCCACCTTTACAGCTGCCTGTCCCTTCCTCTCTCCCCATGGTGTGCCACTGCTGCAGGGAACAAAGGAGAAGCAAAACACTGGCACTGGTGTTTCCTGGCTCAGATAGAAAACAACATCTTAACAGCATCATTCCAGTAAGGTTTCCCTCCTGCCACTTTTCCTAAAAGCTGCAAGAAAGTCTGGATCTGGAAACTCTCTCTCACATCACTGAGTCCAACCTGACAGCTCTTTTAACTCTTGTTTCCCCACAGAGCAAGAGCCATCTTTTCATCTAAGTGAGGAAAAACAGGATTTCCCTTACCTGGGCTGCAAAAAATTCAAAAGGCTGTGGTCTGTCATGTAATGCAATACAAAACACTAAGGATGTAGGACTGGAAAGGGAAAATTTGGAAGGGGCTGCCCAGAGAGGTGGTGGAGCCCCTATCCCTGGAGATGTCCAAGGAATGACTGGACCTGGCACTCAGTGCTGTGGCCAGTGCTGTGGGCTGGAGATAGAACACAGGGTGGACTTGGTGACCTTGGAGATCTTTTGCAACCTCAGTATTTTGGGGATCCTGAGAAATGCAAGTCACTAAAGAATTCAGCCAGCAGCACACCACTGACACAGAAGAGAAAAACCAGTATTTCCACCATTCCTGGCAGCAAAAAAAAATCCACAACCCCAGTTCTGGATGGAAACACTCTCAGTGGACACAGAAGGGTCCAGCCACCCCCAGCCCAGGGCTGGGAGGGGCAGTGCAGCATTCCCCCTCCAACACCACACTTACACGAGCTGCACCCTCTGGAAGAGCACACATACCCCGGGCTCAGCACCCAACCAATTCCCTTTGTGAACCACGCAGAGCCAGTGCCAAAGGGGCTGCAACTCCTCAGGAAGCCATTCCCAGAGCTGCTCTGAGTGCAGTGCCCAGTGCTGCTGCTGGCTCTCCCCCGGGCTCACCGTGTGCGCGCTGAATTCCGGGAACATGACGCACGTGGCTCCCACCCACAGCGGGCACTGCAGCTTGTTGATCACCCCGTGGACGTGGTGCAGAGGCAGCACGTGCAGGATCACGTCCTCCTTCTTCCACTCCCACTTCTCAACCAGCCCCGTGGTCTGCACAAGAAAACAAACAGCGTGGCCTTAGGGCAGGAGGAAAGATTTTACCGAGGTATCCCCGAGGTATTCAAGCCCCAAATTCCCTGCCAGGAATGCCTGGGCACAAAATCTTTCCTTCAGAGGTCCACCCACCCCCAGCCAGACCCCAGCCCAGGGCTGGGAGGGGCAGTGCAGCATTCCCCCTCCAACACCACACTTACACGAGCTGCACCCTCTGGAAGAGCACACATACCCCGGGCTCAGCACCCAACCAATTCCCTTTGTGAACCACGCAGAGCCAGTGCCAAAGGGGCTGCAACTCCTCAGGAAGCCATTCCCAGAGCTGCTCTGAGTGCAGTGCCCAGTGCTGCTGCTGGCTCTCCCCCGGGCTCACCGTGTGCGCGCTGAATTCCGGGAACATGACGCACGTGGCTCCCACCCACAGCGGGCACTGCAGCTTGTTGATCACCCCGTGGACGTGGTGCAGAGGCAGCACGTGCAGGATCACGTCCTCCTTCTTCCACTCCCACTTCTCAACCAGCCCCGTGGTCTGCACAAGAAAACAAACAGCGTGGCCTTAGGGCAGGAGGAAAGATTTTACCGAGGTATCCCCGAGGTATTCAAGCCCCAAATTCCCTGCCAGGAATGCCTGGGCACAAAATCTTTCCTTCAGGATCAGCAGGAGAAAAATTCCCACCACAACAGAACAGAACACAAGAGGAACACCTTCAGCATCCTGTCAGGATGGGTCTTAAAATCAGCAAAGCCCTTCCTTGTTACTGAGAAGTATCAACAATGATTTTAAGTAGGACATACAAAAATATTAATCTACTGCTGCACATGCAGATTTGGCAGAAATAGTAATCAAAAAGCTAATTTTCCCAGAATTCTGTTGCCATAGTTAGGACACTGATGACATCAGGCTTTTAGCACCTGTAAGGGATAATCAGTAGGAGCAGGAAATTGCTGATAAACAGAAAGCAGGTTTCATGTTAGTAAAAATTATGAGAGCATCAAGCTTCCAAAACACTTTGCTCTGAAGGGATAATTATCTGAAGGGATAATTATCAGGTTTCTGGGTCAACAATGCCCTTCAGAGCCCAGTGCTGGCAACTGCAAAGCTTATTTCCAGCCACCTAAAAATAAGAAAAGCATCTGAGCAGTGGAATTTGGTCGTGTCTCTCACAACCCTCTTCCACAGGGCAGCGAGCAGCTTTTAGGCTTCCTGCAGGACAGCCCAAAGGATGGGGACTGCTCAGGCCACCCCCCAAATAATCAGCATGTTTGTGAGGGAACAGATTCCTTGCCCAATATAGCCAAGCCCTGGCTCCATCCATCAAGGCTTTCATTCCTGTTGGGACCCTGCAGGAGCCGAGCACCCCGAGCAGCTCTCGAGGCACCCCTGCATTCCCTGCCCTCCCTCCCTAATGGCAGCAGTCTGGCAGTTGCAGGCACTGATAACCAAGTGGTGAGGCAGTCAGCAGGCTTATTCAAACTTTTAATTCCTTTTGGCTCTGAGAGCTAATGGATTTTTTTGCCTTGGGGATACAGAGCTGAATAATGCACAGGCTTCACACAGCACTGGGCTGGGCTAAGATATTTTCCAATTAGGAGCAAAGATTCTCCCCTAGTCAGAGGGCAGAAAAGCAAACTGCAAAGAAATCAGGTTTTTTACAACAGGTTTCATCCATTCTGCTTTCCAGGAAAGCAGGGAGGAGAATCCAGCTGCCTCAGGATGCAGCTGCAGCACGAACAGGCCAAGGCTGAGAGCCTCACACGCTGCTGTGTGCTCACCTTCCAGAGCTGCAGCCCCACAGCTCTCAGCACGAATTTGGCAATGGAAAGGTGTTTGCAACCCCAAATCCCCTCCAGATTCCAAGACTTTGTAGCTTGGCAGAGCCTGGCAGGGGGGCAGCAGCACTCACCACAGCCTGCACGTTCTCGTGGGTGCTGAGGACACCCTTGGGCCTCCCCGTGGTCCCGCTGGTGTAGATGATCATGGCCCCTCTGTCCTTCCACGAGGAACAGCTTGGCAAGAGCCCCTCCTCCGTGGCTGCAGGGCTCGTGGATCCACCAGCACCAGGCGTGGGGAGTGGCAGCACGGGGACTCCCAGTTTCTGGGCGCTGGGGGTTATTTTGCTCAGGAACTCCTGGGCCGCGATGAGCAGGGCGCTCTGCGAGTCCTGGATCACGTACTCCAGCTCGGGCAGAGGGTGCTTCCTGTACAGGGGCACGGCTATGGCCCCGCTCATCCACGAGGCCCACTGGGCCACCACGTAGGAGGCATCGTTGGGGCACAGGAAGGAGATCCTCTCTTCCTTCAGGTCCCTGCTGGGGCACTGCAGGAGCCTGCAGATCTCCTGGGACAGGCGGAGGCTCCGGCTCAGCAGCTCCCGGTACGTGTGCTCCCCGTGCTGGTCAACGATGGCCACTTTGTCCCCAAAAGCCAGGGCCCTGGTGAACACAGGGGTGATGTCGCTGCTGCAGGTGGCCCGGGCTGTGTGCAGAGCCCTGTGGGGACAGCCAGCCCTCCTGCCACCCCGCAGGAGGCAGCGGAGGGGCCGGCACAGCTGGGGGAAGAGCAGGGGGAGCAGCATCCTGCCAGCACGGCCGGGCTGGAGCGACTCTGCAGGAAGCAATGATGGCACATCAGCAGGGGCAGGATTACCCAGGGGGTTATTCCCACCCAGGCAAAGTGGCAGCCCTCATTTGAATCATATCCACTGTATTATTTATGTCCCTGCCTCAGAGTGCCACATCCTGGGCAGCCTGAGCATCCCCGGGTCCTGCCATGATGGAACAGGAGGCACAGCCCTTAAAATCCACCTCGTTTAAATGATGAACCAGCTTTCACAGAATCCCAGAATGGTTTGGGTTAGACCTCAAAGCCCACCCAGTTCCACCCCCTGACACCTTCCAGTGTCCCAGGCAGGGGGTGAAATGAGATGCCAAAGCATTCCACAATTCCGTGAAGAATCCTAAACCCTCTGCACAGCCTGGAGCACCCTGTCCACACAGCACCAGAGAGCAGAGGACAGGGCTGTGGCAGGAGAGAGAGGGATTTGCTGCACAGAATCCCATCAGCACCAAAGCATCCCCAGAGAGGCTCCATGACAAGAGGAAGCAGCCAAAGGATGACAAGCTCTCACTCTCCGCGAGTGTCCGTGACACTTCCCTGACGCCGGCAATAACAACCTGACTTTTCCTTTATTTTTTTTTGATAAATGCCTATTAGTGGAGCAGCTCAGCTCCAAGAGCCTCCCAGCCCAGCTTCCCAGTGTGGGGAGGAGCTGGAACAAGGGGCTGCAGCCCAGCAGCTCCCCAGGGCAGAGCTGTCAGGGCTGCCCCAGTTTGTTTTCCGCCAGCCCTGCGGTCTGTCCCCTCCACCTTCGGAGCATTTCCCCACCCAGACACTGGCCCTGCTCAGATCTTCTTTTGCAAATCAACCTCAATTTCTGCTTCTGCAAAACAAGCTGGTGATTTAGGGTGGAAACATCTGGGGGAGCAGAGAGGCTGCAGCCCCAGAGCGGGCTGAGCGTGGGAACTCCTGACATTTGCCACCAGCATGGAAAAAAACAAAGCAGCTCAAGGCAGAGCTCGTGTGACAGCTTTGCATTGCTCTGGAGAGGCTGAAATGCAAAAACCCCACCTAATTCACACCCTGAACTGAAGCTGTGGCCATGGCAAGGTGCCATACCCTGAGCATGACGAGGGGCACCAGCTGGGAGCTGGTTTTGCCCAGGACCAGCGCGGCTGATGCTCCCAGTGCTCTCACTGCTCCTCCAGCTCCTCCCAAAAATGGAATCACCCCATTCTCAGCAGTCTGTGTTTCATGGAACAATGCAAGCAGCACTCCAGCCAGGCCTGGCAGTGCTGGGTTTTACAGAGCTGGGCTGCAGACACGTGGGGTAAATCCAGGGGCTGTCTGCCATCCCCTGTGCTGCTCAGGGGTCACAAACTCCAGCACAGCACACCTGGACACAAAGACTGTCCCTGGATCCCGTGGGAAGGGGAGGGCACGGTAGAGATGTGGCTCTGCTGCCTTGGAAGGGAAGGTTCAAATCCCCCTGGAAGGGACAATCCAAGCCCTCCTCCTCCTCCTCAGGCTGAAGATCTCAAAGCAGCTGGAGGCTCCCCCCAGCTCCCAGCACAACAAAACCAGTGCAAACTGGGAGCTGACCCACTGCACAGCCCTGGGCACTGTGTGCATCTCCCTCTGCACCCTTTCTGAGCACAAAGGGCATAAAATGCATTCCCTGGAGGAAAATGACCCTTGGAGTTACTCTGAGCTGTTCCAAAGTGAGTTATTACAGGATAATCGTGGCTCCAGCTGGGACTGTGTAGCTGCCAGGTGAGCCTGGCCTGCAGGACTGCAGCCTTTCCTCCTTTACAGGCATGGGAACACAAAGGGATCCCTGACTGTTTCTACAACAGAGATAAAAATACTGCATCCCTAGAAAATCACTAAAATACTTTATTAGAAAATCATAAAGTAACTAAGAGAATGGAAAATGCATCAAATAATGCCTGAGATGCTGACTGTTCTTCCCTTCTCACAAAACAAAAAACAGGGAAAGGTTTGGATTGGAAGGACTTTAAAGCCCATCCAGTCCCGCGGAGATTCCCCCTGCAGCGCTCTGCCCGCAGCCTACTCACGGCACATCCCGGAGCAGGAAAGGCACGAACGGCGCTGAGCCTCCCAGGCACGGCACCGCTACCGGCACCGGCACCGGGGCCGGCCCCGCCGCAGGCCGCGCAGCCCGCGGCTCCCGCGGGGAAGGAGGGCCGGTCCGGGCGCAGCGGGCCGAGGGCAGCAGGCCCCGGCTGGCCCCGGCTTTGGGACATCCCGGGGCCGTCCCGGAGCCGTCCCGGGGCCATCCCGGCCCCGCCGCCTCCCGCAGCCCCGCCGGGCCTCACCTGCCGCCGGGGGACCGGTCCGGCCGCGAACAGCTCCGGCGGAACGCGGCGCCGCGACTCGAACGTTCCGCGCACTAATGTTCCGCCACGCCGCCCCGGATTTGTGGGGATTTGGCCCCAAAATGGCCACGGGGGCGGGGCCGGGGCTCCGCGGGGCTGGGTGTCCCGGAGTGGAGTGTCACCGGTGTTCTGGGGTGTTATGGCGGGTGGGTGTGGCGTCATGGAGCTCCAGCTCTGCCCTGCGTGTCCTGGGGCCAGGGGCCTTGTCTGGGGGATTTGGGATTGGGGGATCTGGGGACTTGGGCAGGGGGCAGGCATGGCCTGGACTCGGGGAACATTCACACATGGGCATTCCAGGGGGCACAGAGATCCCAGAGATGCACAGACACTGTGGGGACACATAGCCACCCTGGGGACACACACACAGCTGTCTTGGGGACAAACAGCCATCCAGGGGACAGAAACACAGCCACCTTGGGGACACACAGCCATGCGGGGCTGCACAGAGGTCCCATGGTGGCACACAGGGCAGAGGGCACAGGGCACAGAGCACATGGCACAGGGCACACAGCACAGGGTACAGGGTACAGGGCACGGCACAGGGCACACAGCACAGGGTACAGGGCACAGGACACAGCACAGGGCACAGGGCACCCAGCACATGGCACACAGCACAGGGCACATGGCACACGGCCATGCCCCACCGCAGCCGAGCTGCTCTGGCCGTGCCCAGGGCCCGTGGAGCGGCACGGCTGGGCTGACCCCCGCCCACCCCAGGTGTGTTTCCACCGGGGCCGGGGCTGGGAGCGGAAACGGGGCCGGGATGGCAGCGCTGGGGAGAGCACCCGGCGCTCCTGCACGGCTCCCTGCTCACGGCATGGCTTCCTCCCCATGGCACGGCTCCCTGCCCGGGGCAGGGCTCACTCCTCATGGCACGGCTCCCTGCCCGGGGCAGGGCTCATTCCCCATGGCACGGCTCCCTGCCCGGGGCAGGGCTCACTCCTCATGGCATGGCTCTCTGCTCATGACACAGTTCCCCATGGCACAGCTCCCGGCTCATGGCACAACTCTCCATGGCACATCTCCCCACTGCACAGCTCCGTTGCACAGTTCCCCTCACACAACCCCTTCCCCAGTTCCTCCACAGCCCTTCCCCAGTTCCTGCCATCCCACAGCCCTTCCCCAGTTCCTGCCATCCCACAGCCCCTTCCCCAGTTCCTCCCATCCCACAGCCCTTCCCCAGTTCTCCATCCCACAGCCCTTCCCCAGTTCCCCCATCCCTTCACTCCCCCACCACCCCCTGCCCCGTGCAGGGCTGCTGCAGGAGGCTCCCCACACTCCCAGCAGCTCGGGGTCAGCCCCAGTGCCAGCGGGTGCCACCTCCCTGCAGGTGTGCCCAGCACCCTGCCACCGCCAGTGCCACCCCCAGTGTCACCCCCCACGCTCCCCATTGTCACCAGAGCCCCCTCCCTGGGTGCGTGCCCACGGGGGGCTCTGGTGCCAACACCCCGTGGTGGGGCAGGGGCCGGCAGGGACAGCGAGCACGGGGAGGGGACAGAGCCGGGACACCCAAGGACGAGCCAGGAGCGGCCCCTCCAGCCGGGCCCCTCCCGCGGGGGTGCCACGGCCGCGCTCCCCCGGCGGCGGGGCCAGCTGGCCGGGGTGTCACACACAGCAGATGTCACCGCAGCCACCCCGAGCCGCTGCGGCCCCGCACCTGGTGCCACCGGCCATCTGGAGCCGGCCACATCCCCGGGGACCTGCCGAGCTCCCGGGGACCGCAGGGAGGGAGGGAGGGAGGGCAGGGGCTGCTCGCGCCTGGCCGGGGGCTCAGTCCAGATGTGCCCTCACAGCTGGGAGAGGCAGGCACAGCCCTGCCCACCCCCGAGCCCGGCTGCTGGCACTGTCCCCGGGCTGTCCCCGAGCTGCCACCGCGGCTCCTGGGGTCCCTCCCAGCAGCAGGAGGGATCTGTGCCTGCCCTCCCCGCCTCGCTCAGCTCCGTGATTAATTATGGATCCAGCAGAAAGCTTTTATTGCGCTGCAGTTTACTTGTGGCACATCCGTATTTATTAAAGGGAAAAAAAAAGGGAAGTAATTACTGGGGTGGTGTAAACAGCACAAACACTGCGGGGCTGGGGGAATGCTCGGGGTGATGGTGAGTTCATCCTTGGGATGGGATTGATGGGATTGATGGGATGGGATGGGATTGATGGGATGGGATGGGATGGGATGGGGTGGGGTGGGATGGGATGGGATGGGATGGGATGGGATGGGATGGGATGGGATGGGGGCACTGGCAGTTCCCACCGTGGTGCTGCTTGGAATGAGGATGCAGCACAGCAAGGTGGGAGCCTGTTCATCCCACTGGCACTCCCCAAACCCATGGAAGTGTGTCCCTGTCCCCATCCTGCCCCAGCCCAAGGAGGGACAGAGCCAGAGCAGTGCCGGGGTCCCCGTGGCTGCCAGGAGGGTGTTGTAAACAAGGGGCAGTGAAATGTTTGATCCCCATCCATCTGCTGGCCCCTAATCCCCACCCGAGGCCCTGGTGCCTCACACTCCCCAGCCTCCCTGAGCCGCTCCCCGCCAGGCAGCCCAAGGTCACCGGGGCTGCTGGCCCTGTCCCTGTGTCACCGGCCCCACCGCCAGGCTGCGGGGCCCTGTGGTGGCAGACAGCAGATCGAGTGTCCCCAGTTTGGGTCTAACCTGTGCTGCTGCTCCCGCGGCAGGGCAGGCTCCCCCCTGTTTCCCCTCCGTGTTTCAGAGGTCCCCCCTTGCCTGCATCCCTCCCGGCACCCCGAGCTGCTGCAGGCACTGCCACACGCGGCTGTGTCCCCAGGGGCCTGCAGGGGACACGATTGCCGTGGGGACTCCCCGGGGACAGGAGCAGCTCGCAGTGAAGTGCAGCCCTAAGTGGCTCCTGCGTCACGTGGCGAGGATAAGTGCAAAATGGCCCTATTATGATAATTGCCCGGAATTATGATTGATGGAGATTAGCTGCTTATTTGAGGAAATGGCAGGCGCACGTGTGACACGGGCAGGCCGGGCAGGGGGCACGGGGGCACGGGGCACGCCAGCGTGGCTCTTGTGGCACAGACAGTCACCAGTGCCATCCCCGGAGCTGCCACGTCCCCGGGCTGGCATGTGCCACCAGCCAGGGACAGCGGGTGAAGCGTGGCAGGAGGATGGGATGGGGCAGTGTGACCCCCTCACACCCCGTCCTGCCCACGGAGGGCTCCTGGCTGCTCCTGCCAGCTCATTAAGGGCATCCCTGATTAGGGGCAAAGCTGTTACCCAGGGATGGCCGCTGCTCTCTGTGTGCTCCTGGTGCCTGCCCCAGCACCCCTGTGCCTCCCGGTGAGTGTGGCTCCAGTGAATGATTTATTGTGGGAGAACTGAGCAGGAGCTGTTCCGTGTCTCCTGCCTGGCGATTCCCACCCCATTCCCTTGGCCTTAGGGGCCCTCTAAAGGCATTGGCACCAGGAGCACCCACGCTATGTGGCACAAGCCACATACCCACTTGTGCCTTCAAGGACACCCAAACCAGGAGCTTTGGGAAGAAAAGCTGGGAAAGCAGGGCTGGCTGCTGATGGCTGGCCAGGATGGAGCCATGGCACCGCCGGGGCCAGGATTTTGGCACGAGCTGGGGACGCTGTGTTGCACAAGGCTGACATGGCCGTGCCAGGCGACGCGCGGCCAGAGGGCACCCCAAAACCCCCACCCATCACCACAAGTCCCTCCTCCGCTCTCCCCTTCCCAATTTCCCGGGCCCCCCTGTGCAGCAGACGGATGCTGGGTAAGAGGTGTGTCTGTGGGAGCCATCCTCGCCGCGCAGCATCGCCCGTCTGCGGCGGCGCTTGCCAGCCCTGCCATGGCTTTCCTGCCCGGGCTGGGGGCACAGCCTGGGCCACGCGGGGCTGAGCCCCTGCACGCCACGCTGGCACCAGGAACGGCATCCAGAGCCTGTGCCCGGGGACGAGGACATCGCCCAGCCGGCCTTGGCCGAGGGAAGGGGTCCCTGGTGGGTCCCCGCCACCGGGCACGGCGAAGCCAACTCCTTCCTCTGCCTTCTCCCCTTTTCCTCCCCCCGTTTGGCATTTGGCAGCGGAGCCGTGGCGGCGGCTGGGGCGCGCGGTGCCGGGGAAGGGCTGCCAAGCCCCGGCAGCCCCCCGCGGTCCCCGGCCCCCCGTGCCAAGGCTGGTGGCTGGCAGAAGGGCTGCCTGCGCCTGGCAGGGCTCCGTCAGCTGCGGGAGGATCCCCGTGCCGCGCTCGCTGCCAATTTCCCTGCGAGCTGGCACCGCAGGCGGCTCCGGAGGCACCGGCAGAGAAGGCTGGGGAGGACGGATTGTGAAAGGGAGAGAGGGGAAAAAAAAAAGAAAAAATAATGGACACATGCCATCGCTGGAGCTGCGAGGCTGCCAAAACGCCAGCAGGCAGCGGGGGCCAAAGCCCGGCGGCGGCGGCGGAGAGGAGGCTCTGGCAGCGTGGCACATGGAGCACGGGCAGCGAGGAGGAGGCACGGCGTGGCCGAGCAGGACGGGCGGCAGCCGGCGAGGACTGAGGTATTTGCCTTCGTGGCGCAGGGCGTGCGTGTGCGTGCATGTGTCCGTGCCAGGCTCCGCGTCCCGGCCCGGGCCTTGCTGTCCCTCCTTCTCCATCCTGGCTTGTCCCGCCAGCTCCCGCCTGGCCTGTGCCGCAGCCCATGCCTGGCACGGGGGCAGGCTCCAGGTGCCGGCCGGGCTGGCCCTGGGGCCGCACGGAGG